TGGCGTACCCAGCAGCCGCCATTTCAAAACCTTCCCCTTCCTCTTTCCCCCTGGCGTGGCTTGGCGTGGCTTGGCGTGGTGCGGCGTGGTGCGGCGTGGTGCGGCGTGGCTCGAAATTGAATCTGGCGCATCCGGCTCACTGACTCACTGATTGACGTCTGGTATGAAAAAGTGGCGAATGCCTCGAAGAATCCAGGATTCCAGGAATCCTAGGGTGACGGCATCAGCAATAGCCGTCTTTCCGGGCGGGGCGTTCTTGCCCTCTCATCCCCTTCCGCGCAGGGAAAAATAATAAAAATACTTCCGCTTGCAAAACCGTTGTGCACTGCCAGGTGCCGTGATGGCCTGGCTGGGGCCTCCAAGCGATCCTTTTTTCGGGGCCTCGCCGCACATGCTGCATTCTCTGAAAATTTAAATGTGTACACTGCAAATCCAGTGGTAAGTTTACTTGCTACAAATATGGCAAGCCGTTTTGAATGCCTAAATTTGGTAAGCTATGGTCGGAAATCTTCACAAGCTTGCCAAATTTTGGCGAGCTGGGGGGTATTTCCAGTCTAAGCTTGCCAAATTTCGGCATGCTGGGGAGTCCAGGCCAAGCTTGCCAATTTTTGGCATTCAAAGCGGCTTGCCAAATTTGTGGCAAGTAAACTTACCACCGGCTTTGCAGTGTACCAAGTACACACACACACGCACACTGGGTACACACTTCTCAGTTACCTTCAGGCAGCGTCTCAGCTTGCCTTCCTTCAGTTCGGTATAAACAACGCCCCTCTCTTTCGTGGACGCCAACAGTTTGTTCCGGACGGCCGAACTATCCTCTCACACGGAAAAAAAGGATTAGTTGTAACAACTAACATGTTGGTTGGAATGCGTCCAAGGAAGATTTTAGTTGCTGCGGCTAAAAGTTTGCTGCAGGAGCAATAATATTAGTTTGAGCAACTAACAAATTAAAGTTGGTACAAGGATAAAGTTGATTGTGCCTACGATATGTTAGTTGTGATGACTAACATGAGCGTCACGAGAGAAAATAAGCTTCGTATAAGAAAAACCTTCAGCGGGTATCGCGGAATCTGTGATCTGAGAGCTGCTGAGGCTATCCACTCCGCTGTGGTGAGCTGATAGCGGGAGAATGCCCAATGACGCTGATACAGCAAACTGACCGATGCTAGGACAAGCGACGATTAAATCATCGCCCGAAAGTCGGGTCTCCTAAGAATGTCCGCAGCGCAGTGGGCAGCGTCTCTGATTGACAAACGACAGGTCCTGAGTTCGATTCCCGCCGCAGACTTTTTTCTGTGCGTGGTTTATTTTCTTCCGTGACGCTCGTGTTAATCCTCACAACTAACATAGTGTAGGAATAATCAACTTTATCCTTGAGCCAACTGTAGTTTTTTAGTCGTTTCAACTTATAAATTCGTTCGAGCAGCAAACTTTTAGTCGTGAAAACTAAAATCTTCTTTGGACGCTTTTCAACTAACATGTTAGTTGTCACAACTAATCCTTTTTTTCCGTGCAGACAAAACACAAATCCAGATTGAATCAGGACCAGTGAATCAGAAATAAGCACCAATCGGACATCGCCAATCAGAGGTGGTCGAGAATACATCTGGACGCATCTGGATTGTCCAATGGGGCCACGAGTTGATTCACCCACCGCTCCTCCTCCTCCTCCTCCTCCTCGCGGCGTCGCTACCGAGCACTCCTGGCCGGCTCGGCGAGCACGCACCGGGACGGAAGGGACGCACCGGAACGCAACGCCGGCGAGAGGCATTTCGGCGAGGCAGTCGACGCCTTGGTCGACGCCGCCAGCCTCTTATTTTGGAGGCGACGCTGGCGACGACGCTTCGACGCCCGGAATTAATGAGCACCGCACAGGCAGCACCCCCCCCCCCCGCCCCGCCCCCTGGTGGCTTCCATTCCGCCACACCACCGTCGGGGCGCTCCGTGACTGCGTCACTGCGTGACGGGAGGTGGCGTCCTCGTCAACCGGAGCCGCGCCGCCTCCACACGGCCTCGACGACGGCCACCTTGTCTCAACGCTCGGCGAAATTAGCGCCCCTTCCTGCTGGCTCTGAGACACCAGGGTAATAGGGTGTACCATAGTAGGCGCCATAGGAGCTGCCATAGGAGGTGCCATAGGAAGTGCCTTAGGTAGTGCGATGGGCACCATAGGAAGTACCATAGGAGGCCCCATTTTGTGCCATAGGTGCCATATAAAGCGCCATATGTGGCATAGGAGGTGCCATATATGGTGCCATATGTGCCATACGAGATGCCATAGAAGGTGCCATAGAAGGCGCCGCCGGCGCCACAGATGGTGCGATGAAGCGCCATATGTGGTGCCATAGGTAGTGCCATAGGAAGGAGGCGCCATGGGGGGGGGGCATGGTAGGCGCCCTAAAAGGCACCATAGGGGGTGCCATAGAGGGCGCCTTAGGAGGCTCCATAGAAGGTGCCGTAGGACGTGCCATAGAACGCGCCCTAGAATGTCCCACAGAAGGCGCCATGAGAGGCGGACTGGCAGCTGTTGGCAGTGTCGTCGTTATAAGTTGCAGAGTGGCTGCGCCGAGGCGGCGCGGCGTATTCGGCCAGCGTGGTTTAACTGGGGATGATTGCCACGCGCCGCTGCCCCCACTGCCTCCGCCATGAGGCGCTCCACCGTTAAACGAGCCCGCCGCGACACGGTGGGGCCGGGAACGGTGTCACGCCGCGTGCACGCAGACACGCAGACATCAACGCCATTTCTTTGTGTATTCCACGCTGAGAATGAGAGTCATAATCACGACTAAAATTTTAGGAGAGGGATCTGGCTGCTGAGCCCTTACAGCGTTGTTGTTGTTGTTGGTGGTGGTGGTGGTGGTGGTGGTGACGATGATGGTGGTGACGATGATGGTGACGATGATGATGATGGTGACGATGATGATGATGGTGACGATGATGATGATGGTGACGATGATGGTGACGACGATGATGATGATGATGATGATGATGATGATGATGATGATGATGGATGACGATGAAGATGTTTGAGTACTGTTTGGTCAGTGCATCCACCATCGCGACCAAAGTTGAGTGCTGAAGCCTCCTTTGCCAAAGTTTGCTTGACAAAACAATCCTCTCCCCACGAAATGTGACTCTTCTCAGCGCCCCTACTCGCACACTGTATTATCTACCGTCGTGAGTATGGCGCGGCACACTGACAAGAGATGATGCCGATGATGCCGAAACTACATTCTAATTTCCTCGCTGTGTTGCTGTGCGCGCGCGAGGCGGAATAATAATGTTTGTTTTGTGCCAAACGGTACACGCTGCGCCACCGAGCCGTGCCGTGCCGTGCCGTGCCGTGCCCTGCCCTGCCGTGCCGTGCCGTGCCCTGCCGTGCCGCGCCGCGCCGTCGCGTCCGCCACAATGAGGCCCGTGACGCAAACAGAGCATCCCGCCGGAACGAAACACGCGCTGCTTTGAGCCCCAGGATCTATGTAATGCAGTCCTCACGCCCGGCCCGGCCCAGCCCGACGGAGTCCGCGGGCACCTCTATTTACTCTTCATCGCGCGCTTTGTTTACTGGCGGACTCTTTTCCACGGCCTTCTGTATTCTGAGTGTCCTCTGTACTCTGTATTTTGAGTGTATTCTGTATTCAGTGTTTTGGACCTGTTTTCCGTTCTCTTTAGTATCCCGTCCTTTGCACTCCGCGTTCTTCGTGTGATTAAAATTCTGGACGCGATTTGAGCTTCAGAGTCGCTAAACGGGTTTCGAACCGAACGTGTGACCCCACCAATGGATTCCTCGTTCTGCGAGGGCAATCTATTGGTGGGGTCACACTTGCGTTTCGAGTCCCATTTAGTGACTCTGGAGCTCGAAACGCGTCTAGAATTTTGGCTGCCTCCGCCGGTCTTCTGGCCCACTGTGCGACGGCACCGGGTTTCGTAGACAGACGAGGCCCCAGCGTAAGCGGTCTCATTATGATTTACGGCAGTTTGCGAAAATGCCATAGACTCTGTTGTTTTGCCGCTACCACTCTGTGAGGGACCCGCAGTATCGACAAGATCGCTCGGCACGGGCCGGATGGGGCGGGGCGGGGCGGGGCGGGGCGGGGCGGGGCGGGGCGGGGCGGGGCGGGGCGGGGCGGGACGGGGCACCCTCCGAGGAGCGCGCCTGAGGGGTGGACAGTCCGGCCACACGCGCACGCTGTCCGGGTGGCCCACTCGGCGCCCCGCCCCGCCCCGCCCCGCCCCGCCCCGCCCCAGGGCCAGCCTTATGGAGGAGCGGCGCCCTGCAGAGCCATCGGAGGATCGCGTCGGGCTGCAATGAAAGGGCCCCTCGAAGCGTTCTCGTAAAAAAAAAGAAAATAATCAGCAGCATGCTCCAGAGAGAAGAGAACCCCCGCGAAGCCGCGCCCAGCGTTCAGCCACGACAGAGGGGTGCCCTTCTCGCATGGTTCAGCCGGAGATTGGCGAAGCCCGCCAAGAGTGCCATTGTGCCGACGGCCCTTTGCCAGTGGCGGAGCCAGGGCGCACCTCTCTGCACGGCGGCACGCCGCGGCACGCGGCGGCGGTGGTATGGCCGCGCCAAGGGCTTCGAGCTCACGGCCACTTTGTGCACTTCGTGTGACAAAGACTGTACGGCGAAGCGGTTCCATGGTTTGCACACACTGTTAATGTCTTACGGTGAAAGGCTGCACCAACACATTATGGTGGAGATTTTCTCCATATTACCAAATGCATTCGTCAAAATATCTATAAGGCACAGTGAATTATGTTATGAAGTCAGCTGCACCGTCATAATATGAAACACTTTCACCATAATATGGAGTATTTTAAGCAGAGCTTACAAAGGAAATACTTTGTATTGTACGAACTATTCCTTCCTTCAACAATAGTTAGTGCCTTACGTATGCTCAAAATACTTTCGCAAGGTTTCCTTCCAGCGTATAACAAACTTGACGTCACGTCTCGTTGACCAGTGTGTCTGAGAGGACCTTGTCTGTTTGTGTTCGCAGTGTGCAGGAGACGGATGGCTCCTTCTTCGAGAGCTACACGGCGCTGTCGTGGAAGCAGGAGAACCGCCGCCTGATGGTGGCCAGGGAGAGCCAGGAGCGGCCCGGCGCCGGCCTGTGGGACCCCAACCTGGAGCGGGGCCTGGGGCCGCCGCCCCCGCCTGGGGTCTGGTGGCCGCCCGACCCTGACCTCCGCGACCACCGGGAGGCCTACGCCAACGAGGTAACCCCGCCCCAACCCTAGCGGAAAACCTACCGAAAAACGTACCGAAAAACGTGCCGGAAAACCTACCGGAAAACCTGCCGGAAAACCTACCGCTGAAACCTACCGCAAAACCTACCGAAAAACCTTGCTGCTTGCTAGCAATGCCTCCGCGCTGCCTCGGTGTTCGCGTCGCACAATACACCCGGAGAACATCATGAAATAACCATTTGGTACACAGGTAGAACTGAAGCGCACCTTTTACGCCTATCTAAATGCGTTAGGAGGAATCTCTCCTCAGTTTGTGAGGTTTTTAGAGTGCATCAACGTCAAGCAGGTCGAGCCGGCAATAACAATGTTTCGCGAGGCCTCCAACCCGTCAATAAACAAATTTGGCCCGGGGTCCTTTTTTTGGAGACCGGCTCGGAGTGCATGTGTCGGGGTATTAGCAGAGGCGGGCACATGGTCGGTGCGAGTGCGCCCGGCTACGCCCTGTGCCCGGGGACCAGGGGACGCTGGCGGCAGCATGGCAGCAGCACAGCATGGCAGTCCCCAATACGGGCGTCCCACCACTATATATGGTATCGGGGCACCGAGGCGGAACGCATATTGCCGCCTGCATCGGCCCCGCACATTGTGCGAGTTAACAATGGAGCGAAAGCGTGCGTGAATCATGGGGCGAAAACAAACCGGGCGCGGGAAGAACCCTTTTACCGCCAGTTATGGCGCTTTCGGTTCGATTCGGAGAGTGAGCCGTCAATGTGTCGCTTGACGCGGCTCCGGTCTGCTGTTCTTGAGCACATCGAAAAGCCATTCCGTGACAAGTTTGCTCTTGGTCGCTGGCGGTGGCCACAAACTTGGATTGCTGCTGCTAAAACAATTGCAAGTGTTCTCTGCTGCTGTTTCTGAACCAGCCCTTGCACTAAAAAAAAGTCTACGAAGGAGATGAACGCACGTATCGTGAAAATTGCTTCGTCCTTTAACTGTACTCGTGAGCAAAATTGAAAATCAAAGAAATTGCAAGGTGCGTGGACGCGGCCGACATAGACCGGTGGCCTAAACTCTGGACGCGTTTTGAGCTCCAGAGTCGCTAAACAGGACTCAAATCGAACTTGTGACCCCGCCAATGGATTGCTCTCCGATCGGGGAATCTGTTGATCGGGTCACACGTTTGGTTCGGTTCGAGTCCGGGATTTTGGGGCCGCCTCGACCGGTCGTCTGGCCCGTAGATTTGCAGTGAGAGGGGAGAGCGCCTGCGGTGCGGCGGGTAGGCCGTCCCGCGGCACACCCGCGCCTCCGTGCGGCCTATCCGCAGCCCCGCAGGCGCTCCGTGTTGCGCTCCGTGCCGGCTGTTCGAGTCCCATTCAGCGATTCAAACTCAAAACGCGTCTAGAACTTTAGCCGCCTCCCACCGGCCCACTGTGCGGCGGGGTTCGAATGCACCAAGTTGTTCCTCGAAAACCTCGAAAACTAAACGGATTGAGTGTTTGTTGGCAGCAAGAGGACCTGTACGTGGAGGTGCTGTACACGCTGGCCAACCGCGTGGGCTCGCTGGGGAGCCACGGCCTGGGCCACAGCCTGGGCCACGGCCTGGGCGTGGCGCCGCCCAAGCAGGTGCACCAGAGCCAGCTCCACGACTACGTGCGCGCCGCCTTCGGCTTCACGCCGGAGCAACACCGCCGCCTGCTGGCCGTGGCCAGGGAGGAGAAGGTACGTCTACTGGGCCTGCTGGGCCTGCACTGGTAAAAAAGCACAGAAAAAGTACGGAACGCGTCGGCTCGTTTCTTTACCCTACCAATTACTATAGTAGTTTTTCCGCACCACTTCACATGAGATCCTTGCGGGCTACGGAGAGGACCAGTACGAAAGGGCCGAACTTTTTCCGTGCATTTTGCGTACCACACGGTAAAAACGGAACCTGGTTTTCCCAGGAAGCCTATGGTGGAGACATAGGCGATTTCCAGGGAGTTCCTGGGAAAACCAGGTTCCGTTTTTACCGTGTAACCTGCGCGGGCGTTTTTGCGCGTGTTTGTTGGACGCGCATCGTGTTGCTGGTGTTGTTCGTGACGCTGCGGCGCTCCCTGTTGCAGCCGCCCATCGTGGTCCTGAACGTGGTGGTGCTGGAGGCCGAGGGGCTGGAGGCCAAGGACGCCAACGGTGAGTCAAGTGTGCGACCCGCTGTCACTGTTCTGTTGCACTCGCGGCGCTCTCCGCGAGGGTGCGAGGGAGGCAGAGCGGCAAACCGATCTTCTGCGTTGCGCGAGTGGTGGACACACAGGGCGTGCTCCTCGCCTTCTCGCACTGCTGTCTTGCGTGGCGGTTGCATGGCCTCGCCAAGGCCTGGACATGACGGACAGAGGGCAGGGCGGCCGCGCGCGCCGCGGTTCGCTGCTCGGGTTGCCCCCGTAATTGGCTGTCTGACTGCCTGGCTGCCTGCCCGTCTGCCTGGCTGCCTGGCTGCCTGCCCGTCTGCCTGGCTGTCTGCTCGTCTGGCTGCCTGCCCGTCTGCCTGGCTGCCTGGCTGCCTGCCCGTCTGCCTGCCTGCCTGGCTGCCTGCCTGGCCGCTCCCGTGGCGCCCCTTTTCAGGGAAAGCCCACCCCGCCGGCCCGGCCCGTCAGCGCGGACGGGTACTAGGTGCTTAAGTCTCAAGTTACCCTTCATTCCAGTTTTCCGCTTCCGAGGCTTACCGCCACATCGCGGTGCGCCCCCGACCGCACACGCTGGAGGCAGGAAGCCGACTATAGTCGCGACAGTGACAATCCCGCAACGCGCAACGCCACCAGTCCGCACGTCACTCTCAGTCGGAGTGTTGGCGCTTTGTGTGGCGCGGTGCGGCTTCCGTCTCGCGGCCGGCATGGCTTTGCTTTGTAGCGGCCGAGTCAGTCAACCGGCAGGCAGGCAGGCAGCAGACAGGCCCTCGCCCGCGCACGCCGGTCGAAGATAGTACCGCGGGCCAGGCTCCGTGTCGCCTGCTTAATCATGCATCGTCGTTAGTCTCTCTCTCTCTCTCCCTCCCTCTCTCTCTCTCTCTCTCTCTCTCTCTCTCTCTCTCTCTTCTCTTTCTTTCTCTCTCTCTCTCTTCTCTCTCTCTCTCTCTCTCTCTCTCTCTCTCTCTCTCTCTCTCTCTCTCTCTCTCTCTCTCTCTCTCTCTCGCATGGAACGCAGACACGTTGCTCCATGGCGGTCGTGACGCGAATGTGTCGCCGGGAATCACTCGGAGGGTGGGGTAAAGAGACCTGTCACGCACAAGAGGGCCGAGGGCCGCAGGGCCGTCGGTCCGAGCGTCCCCTCCTCCGTCCGAGCGCGGCCAGCGCGGCCAGCGCGACACGCCGCCGCTGGGGACGCGAGGGGGGAGCGGGGAGCGGGCAAGTGAAGCGGGGAAGCGGGCCAGGGAACCACGTCGAATCCAATAATAGTTTTGTTGGAAAAACGCCGGGGCGCTGGCGCGGTGCTGGCGCGGTGCTGGCGCGGTGCTGGCGCGGTGCTGGCGCGGTGCTGGCGCGGCGCGGGGGGTGGCGACAGCAGGCTCATTCCGAGCGCCGCTGCTCTTTGTCGCTGTCTCTCTCGCACCCTTCCGGGAAGCCCCGTGAGTGCGAGAGAGACGGAGCGAGCAGCGCTCGGACGCAGCCTGCAGCCGAGGGCATTCAGATTTGGCCGAAAAGAAGTGACATCAAAGCGGCACCGCGCGCGCCGCTCCACTTCGCGACAAGTCTGCCTGCAGTTTCATTTTCATGATCCTTTTCCGAGTCCTCATTTTCATTCCCGCTCGTTCTTTTACTTAAAGTCGACTCCAGGCACCAGACTGATTCTGAGAGTCGATTTCGTCGCTCTGTCTCTCTCGCAACCATAAGAGTACGCCCGATGAGGGCGAGAGAGACAGAGCGACGACTCTCGGGGTCGGCCTGCAGGCGGGGCGCGCCTCGGACCGCAGTCCCGCGACTCGGCATGGTCGAATGTCCCGTGGCGCGTGACGTCGAGCCAACAGCCCCGCCGGCCTCGCCAGTCTTCCTCTTGTGTTGCAAACGCAATTATTAGGCTGGATCTCGAAGGACGGCCGGAGACCCTTATCCAACGTCGACCCGTCTCCAATCCTGTTTGAGGCGAGCCCGGATGAGGGAGGGAGAGAGAGAGAGAGAGAGAGAGAGAGAGAGAGAGAGAGAGAGAGAGAGAGAGAGAGAGAGAGAGAGAGAGAGAGAGAGAGAGAGAGAGAGGGAGAGAGAGAGAGAGAGAGAGAGAGAGAGAGAGAGAGAGAGAGAGAGAAGAGACAGACAGACAGACAGACAGACAGACAGACAGACAGACAGACTTCAAGTGTCCAAGTAAACACTTAAGTTTTCTGTGAGGTTTTGAGTCTGAGAGTAACCGTCCGCCTGCATGCGCGCACGATTCATTTACTTCGGGACAGTGACTGATCATCCATCGTCCTGTCATTGTCCTTGCCGTGGCGTGGCGTGCCGTGGCGTGCCGTGGCGTGCCGTGGCGTGCCGTGGCGTGCCGTGGCGTGCCGTGGCGTGCCGTGGCGTGCCGTGGCGTGCCGTGGCGTGCCGTGGCGTGCCGTGGCGTGCCGTGGCGTGCCGTGGCGTGCCGTGGCGGTGTGCCCGCAAGGCTCGCAAAGGTGCGGCCCGTGCGGGGAAGCGGCGCGGTACTGCGCTAGGGGGATGCAACGCACGCGCCCCCGAGTCGCCGCGGCTTGTCTGCCTCTCTTCCAGGGAACTTGCATGACCCACGTCACGCGCCGTGCCGCGCCGTGCCGCGCCGCGCCATTGTCGCCCTCAGCCAAGTGCTCTGTGTTGCGTTCAGGACTGAGCGACCCCTACTGCCTGCTGGGCATCCAGCCGACCAGCAACGACAACAGCAGCAGCAGCAGCAACAACAACAACAACGTCAGCAACGGCGGCGGCGAGAAGGCCGGCAAGGCCGCCAGGGCCAGGGACTCGGCCAGGGAGGAGCAGGGCGGTGGCGACAGGAAGCTGCTGCGCCTCAACACGGCGGCCCTGGTCGGCTGCATGGCCTCGGGCATGGCCTCCGGCAACGCGCCGCCCGGCAGCCCGCTCGTGGCCTCGCCCGTGGGGCTGGTCGCCGGCACCATCGGTGAATGGGGGGCCCATTGGGGGGGCCATTGGGGCGGGGAAGGGGGCGCTGTGAGGCCGACACGCCGCACTGGAAATGCGCAGGTGTGGAGTTTGCAGTTCCTGGAAGTGCAAACAGTTTGCAGTCTCCACACTTCAAGTGTGGACTCCTCCACGTCTGCACAATACCAGGGGCTCTGTGAGCCGCGCTACACTTGGAGTGTGCACACTGCAAACTCCACACGTCAAGTGTGGAGCACTAACCCGCTACCAGGAAGTGTGTACTTCTCCACACTTGGTCTGACAGGGAGGGCGCGCCGCAATGGGGCGGGGCGGGGCGGGGCGGGGCGAGGTTGGGCGCCCCCACGCAAGCTGTTCGAGGACTCTGAATTTCAAAGTCCACGCCAGCTACGAAAGTTGCTAACTATCGATCCCCAACAACAACAGATTATTTATTCATTTTGTTTTCGTTGGTGTTCACGCCACCCTCGAGCTCTGGAGCAGTCCTTTTGCTATTTCGGCGCCGCTTATTTCGAGTGCTGCCGGACTGGTCCACGAACCCGCTCCGCTCTGCGGCGAAGACCGGCATTGCCCTTTCCGAGTCGAGCAGCAAGTACAGTGCAAAAGACGCTCGGTGGGCAGACGACACAAATAGACAGCAGTGGACTCTTCTATAACCTTTTTGTGACTTTTTCCTGACGACTTTTTTGGCTTTTTATTGATTTTTGTCTGGAGAAGCTGCTTCCGTTTTTTGCTTTTTTTCCTCCTTTCCAGCCAGCAGCATTTTTGACATAGCCTTTCGCCGTTTTTCCACCCCTCTTTTACTACTTCCTCCATGACTCTCTGGAGGAATAGGACACGCCAAGCTAGAGGCCGTCCCGCACCGTGGCCTCACGCGCCGGACCGTTGTGGCCACCGGGCGTGGTGGGGCGGGACACAGTGGGCCAGAAGACCGGTGGAGGCGGCGAAAATTCTGGACGCATTTTGAACTTTAGAGTCGCTACATTGGACTCGAGCCGAACGAATGGGCCCACCAATAGATTCCTCGTTTGGAGAGCAATCCATTGGTGGGCTCACACGTTCGGTTCGAGTCCCGTAGCGACTCTGAAGCTCAAAACGCGTCCAGGATTTTGACCGCCACCACCAGTCTTCTGGCCCACTGTGCGAGGCCACGAACGGAGACCAGCGGTGTCCTGGGCCACACCGAGCAATGCAAGCGCTGCAAGCATCTTTTTCCACCCCTTTTTTTGGTAGACACAATGATGTCATTTCGTCCGGAAAGATGCCCGAATGTGCAGCGACGATGTTCCGGAGCGGACGGTGCACCGTACCTGCCCCGCTGCCCAGCTGCGCGCCCGCCAACGCCTCCCCTTTTTTGCACTCCCTTTTTCCATCTCGTCCGCAGCCGTATTGTGACCGCCCCTTGCGAGGTGCTCTATTCCCAGCCCGTTTAGAGCCGCCCACCAGGCAGGACCCGGCAGGCCAGCTGTCTCTCTCGCACCCAGTCTCCTATCGGAGCGAGAGAGGCAGAGCGACGAAAACGACTCTCGAAAATCAGTCTGCAGACAGAACTACTGCGCAGGGCTAACAGCCTCGTCGGACCACGCAGGGCTCGAAGTTAGGGCCACAGTTAATGTCTTACGGTGAAAGGCTGCACCAACATATTATGGTGAAGATTTTCTCCATAATACCAACGAAATTCATCAAAATATCTATAAGGTACAGTGAATTCTCAATGGTATGTTACGAAGTCAGCTGCACCGCCATAATATGGAACATTTTCACCATAATATCGAGAATCTTCACTGTAGAACATTTAGAGTGCAGGGCCAGGGGCCAGGGCGCAGGGCCAGGGCCCCAGCCGTTAAATCAACAAGTGGGGGCCTCAGACTGCGGTCGCTGCGCGGCGCTGCGCGGGGCACAACAGGCTCCATGCCGGCAGGCCGCCGGGACGGCACGCCATGCAAATGGTATAAAAGCCGCGCACGAAAATCAACAAACCGCGCTTCGCGTTTGGCAATCCAAATTGAGTCTGTTTTGTTCCGGCTTTGTACCGGCGGTTCCCTCGGCTGCGCATGTCGGCCGGAAACACTACCGGGGAATTGATGCTATTACGGGCAGCGTCCTTGCCTGCCCTGCCCCTGCCTCTCCGGCTCGGTGGCTCGACTACTCCGGCGTGGATCAAACAGAAAAATAAAACGAGGGAGAGAAAAAGAAATAAAAATATTCACGAGCATGCAGGAAAAAGAGGGACGTGCGTCGTGGGATTGGCGCGGCACTGCGCAGCACGCACGCGGCAGCTGGCTGAGCACTCGCTCCGTCTCTCTCGCACTCATGGGGTCGCCCGTGTGGGTGCGAGAGAGACGGAGCGACGAAGGACTGTTGCTCGGAATCAGCCCGGGCACGCCGTCTGGACTTGAGTAGGGGCGTCGGGCGAGGCGAGACGCAGACCCGACAGCGAAATAATACAGACTCGTCTAATCTCTTTCACACATCATGTTTTTTTCGGTTTTTTTTTTTTGCCAGATGAAATAGATGCGAGACGTCGTTCTTGAATAATGTCGCCCAATATAGCGAGTGACGCCGAATCGAGTCCCGTCGACGCGACGACAGATAAGGATGGCTATGAATAGGACTGAAATTCGCCGCGTCATCCTCAAATATTTGTTTTTGTTAGATTTTGAAAAGGTACGCGCATTCTTTATCAATCAGGTCTTTATTCTAGGATAACTGAACCTAAACTTTATGCGAGCCTGCTCCGGCATGGCTCGGAACCCTTTGATGACATCACCGCTGTATATTTTTTTTGTGCCCAGCTTTTGGAAGAAATAGAGCATACGCGTCAACTGCACGATTTCATGCGCAACAACGCACATTTTCGTGCTTAGCTGCACACGAATCGGCACAAACACTGGTAAAACAAAGACATAAAAATTACGCTCTTTAGGGCATACATACTCTTTTTCACCCTTGCAAGGGCATAAATCGTTTTATGCCCTTGGAATGGGCGTAAATGGTGTAGGGATTTTAAGCATAATTTTAATGCCCTTCCGAAAGGCATTAACGATTTACGCCGCTCCAGGGGCGTAAATCGTTTACGCCCTTAAAGGGCATAATTGTTTCACCAGTGAATTCGTGCATTTTAAAACGTGAGCTCATTTTAGTACAGAGCTGTGCACAACTACCTATTTAGAGCGCGCTGCCTGGCCGCCGGCCTGCCTGCCTGGCACGGCTGAGACCACCCCACCCCACCCCACCCCAAACCCCACCCCACCCCACCCCAACCCCACCCCACCCCAACCCCACCCCAACCCCACCCCACCCCAACCCCACCCCACCCCACCACGTCCCCGCGTTTGATGCGTGTGCCGAGCACCAATCCATTCCCTTTACAAAGTGAGGGCTCGCTGATGTAGCATCATATCGACAACGTCATCAGCACAATCAACTTGCTAATGGCATTTCCCACGTCATTGGGACGTTATCAGCTTCCTTTGAAGTATTCGTGATTTAAACAAAACAAAACATAAAACGGACAGCTGTTAAGGCTGGCACAACTGGTACGTGTTTTAGCTTTGTTAAGTTTGCGACCCTGTTGGCCGTTACCGAGGGGGTAACCACTCGCGTAATACCCTGTACACAAAAACCGTGTATTACGCGTAATACACGTGATCGTAATACCATTTTTGGGTCAAATGTGCCAAATTTGGGCATTTTAGGGCCGTAATACACGTGTAATACCGAGGGGGTATGCACTCGCGTAATAGTCGGTTCACTCTATCTGTAATAGCACGCGTAATAATACGCGTAATGGTCGCGTAATAGCCGAAATTGTCAAAATTTTATCAATTTTGGTGTGTTTTAGGCCGATTTTAGCTAAATTCCGATTAATTTGTGGCGTAATAGAGCGTAATAGCGTAATAGTCGGTACACAGGTTCAGAGAGCGCATACCCCCTCGTGTAATACACCCGTAATACAGCGTAATACCGAGTAGTCTGTACACGATTTCTTGAAGTGTTTACCCCCTCGGCCCTTACACCAACCCCACCCCGCTGTGTGCTCATTATCGTTGACTCTGCGTCCCTGCACGACTTAGACTGTTGTTCCATTTCCTAGTGTTGGCATCTCTTGCTCTACTTCTCTCACTGTCTTTTCCAGATTTGGGTGCATGCTGTTTGTCTTTTGCTTCGTCGGTCCCCGTCGGTCGACCAGCATGGGGCCTCAGCCTCACCGTAGAGCTGACGAGGGGTCCACGCTCCGGACATGTTGAGCGAGAGTGTGAGCGTGGAGGGTGTGAGCGGACCCCTCGAAAGCAAGTGTTTGTTCATTCCAGCACCCTTTTTTCAGCACCTAAGGCGAGGCAGAGGCCGCCTCCTGCCGTAGACTTAACCCGTTTTTATGCAGTTTTTCAATCCGTATTATTGTAGTTACTCCCCTGTGTGCGTTTGTGCCCTTGGTATTGTTGTTGGTTTGGCACTCTTTCTCTGGGTGGCAATCAAGTATTTCGTATAGCCGCTTTGTGTTATTTCTATGCTCAACCAGTTTTTTTCCCACTTTTTTAATTAGCTCCATGGCTCAGTACTTCACGTTGTGTCCCTCCGCACCCCTCCATAGAAGTGGATCGAGTGGGCCTTCTTTTGTCCAGTTTCCATCGTCTCCACAATTTAACTAGCCAGACTTTTTTCAGACATCCTATTCTAAGAGTGCATTGGTGCAACGCTAGTTAGTAACGCTTCTTGATTGGTTGGTTGAGGCTGCGAGTCCCCTGCCGGAGGGCCATCCGTGGGGAGCGGCGCGTCCTTCCTTGACCCCCCCCCTTTCCCCCCCCCCCTCCCACCCCCACCCCCTCCCTGCTGACGGCCGCCTTTGTGTTGCAGGCTTCAGCGACCCCTACTGCATGCTGGGCATCCAGCCGACCGCCGTGCCGCCGGCCGCCAGCGCGCCCAGCAGCACGGGGCTGACGGTGGGCTCGTCCCACAGCACGCCCGCCTCCCCGCAGCAGTCCACCGAGTCGGACGAGGGGCCGCCGCACCCAGAGAAGCTCCGGAAGCACCACAGGTAGCTGGGGCGCCGGCCGAGACCTACATCTAGCGACCAGACAGACAGACTATGGAGCCACCGTGGCGCTACACAGCTCGCTGCTCTTAGTGCTGCCCGCCAACATCGTCTCCGTCTCTCTCGCACCCCTACGGGACGCCCCGTGAGTGCGAGAGAGACGGAGCGATGAAACTTCTGTGTGGGATCACTCTGCAGTGAGGCCAAAGGCAAGCCAAAGGCAGCACAAGGGGATTCCAAAGCCTGCAAATGAGCGGGGCGGGGCTGGCTTCCGGTAAGTCGGCACGTCGGCACTGTCAGCGGCAGGCGGTGGCTGCATGACGAGCTGGTGAGCTGCCGCCGAGCTGTGGAGCTGACGAGCTGACGAGCTGGCGATAGCCAACGAGCTGACGAGTGCCGAGCGCTGCCGCCGAACGGCTAAGGCGCCGCGGTTCCCGCCAACAACAACCTAGCCGTGGCAGCCGTGGCGGCGGTCTCGGCCAGACTGTTTCCGAGTCAAGTCCCCGGCCGCACAGTGCTGTACAGGGTGGCGACGTGACGGCGCGACTTGATGCGAGGGCGTGGAAGAGCGGGCAGGCCGGGCAGCAGGCCAGCCTGGTCAAACCCGTGCTGTGCACTGACGGCTCGCGCTGCTCGGCTCCGCCTGGAAATTGCAGTCCGCGAGGTCGCGGCGTGGGGCCCGACGAGGGTCGACACCGCCCGGTCGACACAATCTTGTTGAGGACGTCGTGCCACAGTGGGCCAGAAGACCGGTGGAGACCTCACACAGACGCCTCTCAGCTCCAGAGTCGCGTCACGGGACTCGAACCGAACGTGGGGCCCCACCAATGGATTGCTCTCCGAACGAGGAATCCATTGGTGGGGTCACACGTTTTGTTCGAGTCCTGCTACGCGACTCTGGAGCACAACAGGCGTCTAGAGTTTTGTCCGCCTGCGCCGGTCTTCTGGCCGTGCGTCCCCGCCGCGCCCGCTTCCGTTTCCCAGTGTACCGACTGTGCTTTCCCTTCCGCAGCTTCCGGCTGAGCTTCAAGCGGCGCGAGGGCCGCGACCGGCCGCACCGGGACTCCATGTCGGCGGCCGTCCCCGCCAAGTTCATCCGGGCCACGTCCGTCAAGCCGGCCACACTCAACCCGCGCTGGAACGAGAAGTTCAGATTGTGAGTAAGGTGTAGTCCTGCCTGTCTGCCGCCCGCCGACGCCCGCTGACGCCCGCCGACCTGTCGACTGGCCCCCGCTTCACGTTTTCCACCTTCACCTTTGACTTTTCACGGCGACTGCCGCGCGGACGGGCGGTCGTACCGCAGCGTGTGCCCCGCCGTGCGCCCCGCCCCGGTGCTCCGTTGCCGTGGACCGTCCGCCAACCGCGGGGCAACCGCGGGGCCGGGAAGGGCAGGGCCAGGAAGGGCCAGGCAGGGCCTCGACCGAACGTGCCGCGGCGTCCTCTTGCCTTATTCATCCCCGGTTTGCTGGCCCTGCCGTGCCGCGCCGTGCTGCGCCGCGCCGCGCCGTGCCACGCCACGGCCATACACAAGCGGAATGACGGCATGACGGCATCCCTCATCGTTAAGGTCGCGGCCCGCCCGCGGTCCGCCCTGCCGGTCCGCCTCGGTGGCCGCAAGCACGGCAAGCACGGCAAGCACCGGGAGCGGGGGATGACTGGGCTAGTCTGGGCGATTGGCCGGGAGTTTGGCCGCGCGGGGAGTTGCTCCGGAGTTGGCCTGGTGTTGACCGGGAGCCGGCCGCCGTCATGAACCCTCCTCCCGCTGCCACGCCCTCGGTGACCTGGCGGCGGACCGGGCCACAGTGGGCCAGAAGTCTTGGCGCCGCGGCGGTCAAAACACTAGACGTGTTTTGAGCTCCATAGTCGAGCGTGTGACCCCACCTATGAATTCCTCTTTCGGAGAGCAAGTCATTGATGGGGTCACTCGTTCGGTTCGAAGTTCGAGTCCCGTTTAGCGACTCTGGAGCTAAAAACGGGTCCGGCAGGGTTTTGACCGCCTCCGCCGGTCTTCTGGCCCACTGTGCGCGGGGCCGCACAGTGACTGGCTTCCCGGCGGCGCTGTAGTGCCGCACGCCCGCGCACGCCGCACCGCCACACGAACGGGTGGAGGTCGGAACAATTAGGGGCTGGCCAACACCCCCACGATGGGGCCCAAGGCCCCCAAGCCCCGCAGCGCCGCAGGGCCAAGGCTGGCGCGCTCCGTCTTACTTCGTCCTCGACGTCCCGCCTCTGTGTCGCTCTGTCTCGCACCCCCGGACGCCACGCGAGTGCGACAGGGACGGCGACAGTTCGGAATCAGGCGCGGCCGGGGTCGCTGGACACTTCGAGAGCAAGTGGCGCGGCGTGGTGCCCCCCCCCCCTCCTCTGTCCCGCTCCGCCTTGTGGTAACTAATGAGATGCTACGTCTAGAAAGAAAATGTTTTCTCATCAAAATACATGAGAAGTTGGCGGGCGACAGCTCGAGAACACGGCCGGCCGCCAGCGAGGGAGGGGAGGGGAGGGGGAGGGGAGGGGGAGGGGAGCGGGAGGGGAGGGCGGAGACGATTCGAACGTCGTCACCCCTCCCCTCCCCCGCCCATCGCCTCCTGGACCTCCAGTATTAAAGTGGAGCCAGAAGAGCCAGTGGAATGGGGACAAGTTGAACCGTGCCCGCGCGGCCACGGGCAGCCCAGGGCAGCCCGGCTCCGGCCAAGACTCCAGCGGCCGGGTCTCGGCCTCTCGGCCGGAACGGCGGCGACAGGACAGGCAGGGCAGGGCGCGGCGCGACAGGGCACGGCCAGGTCCCCCCTTCCAGCCCTGTCACCGGGGCAAGTTGACTTGCGTCAATAAAAGATTAGAGCGCAAACTCTCTCGAGAGAGAAAACTCGATCGCCATCAAAGGGCGAATTCTTATTCCGGTCATCAATTTTGTAATTTGTTGCGCCAGAGGCCAGAGGGCCGGAAAAAGGTGGCGGGGTGGGGCGGGGCGGGGCGGGGCGGGGCGGGGCGGGGTGGGGCGGGGCGGGGCGGGGCGGGGCGGGGTGGGGCGGGGCGGGGCGGGGCGGGGCGGGGCGGGGCGGGGCGTTCCGCAGGGGCCGTTTCGGTCCATCTCGGGCATCGCGGCGCCCAGGGGAAAACGGCCAGCGCGCCGCGGGAGGCGGAGGGGGAGGGGGGAGGCCCGGGGGGGGGGGGGGCAGTCGCGGTCGAGGGCCGCTCCGAATCCCTTTCATTCTGGCCGGCTTTTGCTTTGCACCCGGGACTCGAGAGGTTGCTGCTAAACCAGCAGACCGATTCCGAGAGTCGTTTTTCGTCGCTCTGTCTCTCTCGCACTCACGGCTCGTCCCGCATAGGTGCGAGAGAGACTGGCGACTCTCTAGATCAGTCTACAGAGCCGCACTTCCAGCGGCGAGCACCCAGTGTTTGTGCATCGTTCCGTTTTTAGACAATGCGGCGATGCTCAGGAGCGAGGGCCACTCGGAGAGTCCCGCCGATCCGCCATTCGTCCAGCGGGCTGAGTCGCTTTTCCGTCGCTCTGTCTCTGTCGCTCTCATGGGGCGTTCCGTTGAGGTGAGACAGAGCGACGGGATCATCCTGCGGGACACGGAGATTGGCCCACGTCCTCTCCTCTCCAGTGTGCCCGTTGCCGGCGTTGTCGGCGCCCCTTGTCGGCCCCTTGTCGGAGTCCTGCAGCTAATGGCGGTCTGCCCGATGCCCAATCAACAACCTGTGTGCCGCGGATTCCCAATCCACCTTCTTTTTTTTAAAGCAGTGGTGAGGATGAGGATGAAGAGGCCAGGAGAGCCGCATGCTCGCGGCTGGCGGTGGAGCTCCAGGCTCACGATGAAAACAAATCAGCGGGCATCCATCAATAATCTGTCTCCCAAAAAAAAAAAAATCACGACATGACAAAAATAGGCGTGACTCGAAAGCCACTCTGGTTTTCGGCGTGACTCCAAAGCCGCGCTGATTTCTGGCGTTGATTCTCGGACCTTGTCAAGTATTGGCACGACTTTTGAAACGCGGTAAGCACCGATCAACTGCCAATTCACGCCGCCAGTAACGGCGCGAACTACACGTCACGCCCTATTCCGGCGACACTTTCCTGCCACGCCGGCGTGACTTTTTGTTGCGCCGTGATTTGGCCGCGAGTCCTGTCGTCCGTGGACCGTTCCGTGAACAGTTTAATTATTCGGAGCGGGAGGCCCTGATCGTCGATCTCACTCGCCCCCATACGGGACGTGAGAGGGGAGGGGGGGGAGAGTGGAGAGAGAGGAAGAGAGAGGAAGAGAGGGGAAGAGAGGGGAAGAGAGGGGAAGAGAGGGGAAGAGAGGGGAAGAGAGGGGAAGAGAGAGGAAGAGAGAGGAAGAGAGAGGAAGAGAGAGGGAGAGAGAGGGAGAGAGAGGGAGAGAGAGGGGGAGAGAGAGAGAGAGAGATAGAGAGAGAGATAGAGAGAGAGAGGGAGAGAGAGAGAGAGAGAGAGAGAGAGAGAGAGAGAGAGGAAGAGAGAGAGAAGAGAGAGAGAGAGAGAGAGAGAGAGAGAGAGAGAGAGAGAGAGGAAGAGAGAGAGACCCGGCTCGGAATGAGTCTGCTGGCGCGCTGATGGTGTTCTGGTGACGACTGCGGCGGAAGGGAACGAAGGGCTGGAAGGAGCAGCCGAGCGCGCGACTGCGCGATGCGGGGCGTGGGGCGTGGGGCGTGGGGCGTGGGGCGTGGGCGTGGGGCCCTTGCTGGGCCCCGCGTGATGAGTCTGAGCGAGTGAGCGGCGCAGATTGGAGGGGGGACGAGGGGCGGGGGAGGGGCCTCGTCGCCTTGATGATGGCGTAATTTTGCAAGCCTTCCCTTAGCTTGTTAGTGGGACAGGCCGCCGGGCAGCCGGGCAGCCTGGCAGCAGGGCTTGCTCGGTAAGACGCATTTGGCGTGCCCCCACTGCCCCCACTGCCCCCCGGCCGCGCCGCGCCGCGCCGCCCCCGTCTCCCTCGCACACGCAGAACACAGCCCGCGGGAGTGACAAGGACGGCAAGAACGGCAAGAATCGCCGGGAAAGCCCAGGCAGTGCTTCGGCAAGTTTAATTTCCGTGGGTAGCGGACGACGCGGACCCTGGCCGCGCCGAGGGATTGGGTCGGCGTCGGGGTCGGCGTCGGGGTCGGCGTCAGGGTCGTCGTCAGGGTCGTCGTCAGGGTGGCAGGTGAGCAGAGGGTTCACTAATTGACACGTCCCGTCAGGCACTTGTCTTCCCTGTTGCCTAGTTGTTGTTGATGTTGTCACCGTGAAAGTGATGTCAAGAGCACAGCCCCTCGCTACTTAATTTGAGCGCCCCGCGCGCGGCGCCCTAATCGCTCTAATCTAGTGGCCGTGCCGCCGTGCCGCGCAAACAGAACGCGCTCCCCCCCGCTGTCGATCTCTCGAGCCCCCTCCCCCCTCCCCCCTCCCCTCCCCCTCCTCCTCACCCAGTGTGCCTCTCTGTTGCAGTGACATCGACGACGTGAACAGCGACATCTTGCACCTGGATATCTGGTAAGTCCTCTCGAATACAACTGGGGCCTAGTTTTTCATCGAGCTTGTAATTACGCTTGAGGACTTTGCGCATAGAGTCAAGCGCAGAGAGCGAATTCTCCCGTGCAATTAAATGGGAGCGGAACGCACAAGACCGGTGGAGGCGGCCAAAACTCTAGTCGCGTTTTGAGCTCCAGACTCAAACCGAACGCGTGACCCCCGCCAATGGATTCCTCGTTCAAAGAGCAATCCATTGGTGGGGCCATTCGTTCGGTTCACGTCCCACAGCGACTCCAAAGCTCAACACGCGTCCGGGATTTTGACAGCCTTCTGGTCTCGCTTGAAGGACCGAGTGAATGACGGTGTCAAATCGTACGCTTCAGTTCCGCAGCAGACTGATTCCAAGCACTGCTGCTGGCGTCGCTCTGTCTCTCTCGCACCTATAGGAGACGCCCCATGAGTGAGAGAGAGACAGAGCGTCGAGAGCAGTGTATGGAAGCAGCGTGCAGTGCGCTTCTGCTTTTTTCCGCTCTCAGCCGCGAGCGTCCCTGTGCACGAGGCAGCCCTGGTTCGCGTGCACTGTTCGACGCATGCTATGCTCATCCAGCCGGGGGCTTCCCACCGCCACCGGCAGCACGCAATCTTTTATTCACAGTGTGCTGGCTTGCAGGGACCACGACGACGAGTCCTCGGTGCTGGACGCCGTCTCGCGGCTCAACGAGGTGCGCGGCGTCAAGGGCCTGGGCCGCTTCTTCAAGCAGATCTCGGTGCGCGCGTCTCGCGGCTCAACGAGGTGCGCGGCGTCAAGGGCCTGGGCCGCTTCTTCAAGCAGATCGCCCAGTCCGCGCGCTCCGGCTCCACCGACGACTTCCTGGGCTGCGTCAACATCCCCGTGGCGGACATCCCGTCGCAGGGCGCCGAGTCCTGGTTCAACCTGGAGGCGCGGACGCACCGCTCCAATGTGCAGGGCCGCATCCGCCTCAAGGTGAGCAGGCACGGATCGAGCCGCCTGGGGGAAGACGAAACGTCGCACGTTGCCACTGTAAGGAGGTGACTTTTCCTCCTTTCACCGTCTCTAGGTCGTGAAGGTGAGGCTGGGCTGGGAGGGCTGCGTAGCACGACGACATCATTGCTGCCTTGTCTGGCTCGAGTAACAGTGGCGGAGGTCGAAGTCGAGAGCGCGCGAGCGGCCAAAGACGCGTTTTGAGTTCCAGAGTCGCAAAGCAGGACTCGAACTGAGCATGATCTCGCTAATGGATTCCTCGTTCGGAGAGCAATCCATTTGGTAGGATCTTATGCTCGGTTCGAGTCCCATTGCAGCTCAAAACGCGGCTGGGATGTTGACCGCCTCCACTGGTGTCCTCTGGCAAATCCACTGTGGAGTGTCTTCTCTGCCGTTGCAGATGTGGCTGTCGACAAGGGAGGACCGCGGCACCTCGGAGGAGGACAACTGGCAGGACCTGCGTCAGCAGGAGCGCCTGCACGAGGTCTTCATCGCCCACGAGCTGCACGAGTACCACCACGTAAGCACCCTGGCAACCTTTCCGCGTTGCTGACGGAGAGCCGTTTTCCTCGTTCTGTCTCTCCCTCCCCCCCCCCCTCTCTCTCTCTCTCTCTCTCTCTCTCTCTCTCTCTCTCTCTCTCTCTCTCTCTCTCTCTCTCTCTCTCTCTCTCTCTCTCTCTCAGACAGAGGAAGCGACTCTGCTGGCGTGGACATGAATGGAACCTTTGTTTTTTTCGTCCCCAGAACCGCACCTGGGAGTGGCGGGGCGAGCTGGGCGCCAACGCCCTGGCCGTGCTGCACCAGCACGCCATCCAGGGTGACGTCACCGACCTGCAGCTGGCCATCGTGCGCTTCGCGGCGTACGCGCGCGTGGCGGTCGTCACGCCGCTGGACCACGCCATCATCGTCAAGCTCATGCACGACCTGGAGGAGCAGTGGGACTCGGGCCCGCTGTCCAGGGAGGAGGTGAGGCACCGGCGCCCTGTCTCACAGTGGGCCGGAAGACCGGTGGAGGCGGACAGAATTCTAGTCGCGTTTAGATCTAGAGTCACTAAATGGGACTCGAACCGAACGTGTGACCCAACCAATGAAGTCCTCGTTCGGAGAGCAATCCATTGGTGGGGTCTCCGGTACAGTTTGAGTCCTTTTCAGCGACTCTGGAGCTCAAAACGCGCCTTGAATTTCGGCCGCCTCCACCGGTCTTCTGGCCCACCGCGGTCCTCCCTCGGAATCAGTCTGCAGCGCCAGAGGGTGGCAGGCGGCAAACAGACGGTGGAACTGTACAATCAATTCAGTCGATGTAAAAGCCCAGCGGCGGTGGCGCCTGGCGGGGGTGGGGGGCGGGGCGGCGGGGCGTGATGTGACTGCCGTTCGGAGCGGGACGGCGTGCCTGCCGGGCTGCTGGCAGTGCTTGGCGGGTTGGCAGTGGTTGGCAGCCCTGCCGGTGGGACTGCCAGACCGCGACGCGCCACCAAGTCAGGGCGGGAGAGGGTGGGGGGGGGGCCTCCCAAGGGCGGTGCCATGAGCACGCCACGCTGGAACTGGGAGGGGGCGGGGGGAAACAGAGAGGAACTCGAGAACAGGCTCGTAAAGCGGCCCGCGCGTTCCACGGCCAAGCCAACGGCCCTGCCCACCACCAAGCCCACCACCAAGCCCACGGCCAGGCTCGGCCACGGCGAGCAACAAGTCGGGGGTGTGGTGCGGGAGGAGCAATACGACGCCAAGGCACTGAAGGTGCCCTGTGAGAGCGGAGCGCGGCGCAGTGGAACAGGCGTGCTGGGGACTTGGCTTTCATTTGCAGTGCACTGCATGTTGAACGGTTCGAAAGGCTTCTCTCACTGCCTGTGGTGTGGGGGTGGGGTGCGGTCTAGAGCGGCCTATCCCACAGTGGACCAGAAGACCGGTGGACGCGGCCAAAATTCTAGACGCGTTTTGAACTCCAGAGTCGGACTCGAACCGAGCGTGTCACCCCACCAATGGATTCCTCTGTCGGAGAGCAAGTCATTGATGGGGTCACACTTTCGGTTCAAGTCCCATTTAGCGACTCTGGAGCTCAAAACGCGTCTAGAATTTTGGCCGCCTCCGCCGGTCTTCTGGCCCACTGTGAAGTAGAGGCAAGGTGGTGACGTGGTGCGTTGGCTGGCGCAGGAGGACGCTCTGGCCGAGGCCTTCAACCTGTGGACGGAGCACGCCCTGCTGCTGGTGCGCCGCCACCGGCTGCTGTACCCGCCGCGCTGCAGGGAGCTGTGCGGCCGCCTGGAGATGCTGCTGCGGACCGTGAGCGCGCTGGGCCACACGCGCGCCATGGCCAAGTGCTGCCCCTTCAACAAGGTGAGTGGCGACGCGACGCTGGCGCCTTGGCTCGTCTCGTCGGCGCGCGGAAACTTGACACTCCACTCCCTTCCTCTTTTTGCAGGACCTGCGCGCCGAGCTGGGCTGCGCGCTGCGCAAGGCCGCCACCGACTGGTACGACGAGCTGGTGGACCCGGTGCGGGACACGCTCAACCTCGACGACAGGCTGCACGCCCTGCTGCTGGCCGTCAACAAGCTGCTCGTGGGGCTGCAGGCCTCGCGCTCGGCCTACGACAACATGTTCGTCTCGGTGATGCACGTGCCCTACTTCTGCATCACCTTCAAGCAGATCGAGAAGCTGGTGAGTTGGTTGGCGTTGCCTTGGGGAGGGATTCCGAACATTGCTCTCTCCCTCTCTCCCCTCTCTCTCTTCCTTTCTTCCTCTCTCCCTCTCTCCTTCGCTTCCTCGCTTCCTCGCTTCCTCCCTCCCCCTCTCCCTCTCTCCCACTCTCTCACTCTCCCACTCGACCACTCTACCACTCTCCCTCTATCACTCCCTCTGTCCCTCACTCCCTCTCTTCTTCTCTCCCTCTCTCCCACTCTCCCACTCTACCACTCTACCACTCTCCCTCTATCCCTCCCTCTGTCCCACACTCCCTCCCTCCCCCTCTCCCCCTCTCCCTCTCCCCCTCTCTCCCTCTCTCCCTCTCCCACTCTCCCACTCTCCCATTCTCCCTCTATCCCTCTGTCCCTCACTCCCTCTCTTCTTCTCTCCCCCTCTCCCTCTCTCCCTCTCTCCCTCTCTCCCCCTCTCCCCCTCTCCCTCTCTCCCCCTCTCCCTCTCTCCCCCTCTCCCTCTCTCCCCGACACTACCTCTCTCAGAGGATCACCACGGCGTTTGGCGTTGCAGGTGCACGCCGACCTGTGCGCCCTGACCTGCTCCGTGCTGGGGCAGCTGCGCTGCGCCGAGCTGGGCGACGAGCCGGGCCCCGTGCAGCTGTGCACCAACGTGTTCGAGCTGTACCTGGCTCTGCAGGACGTGAGCGCCATGGCCGAGTACACGGAGCGGTCCGAGCGCGGCTCGGTGGAGCGCGCCCCCACCACCCTCACCACCTTCTACACGTGGTTCGAGGCGGCGCTGCACCGCTGGCTAGACCTGGCGCACTTCAAGATGTCGAACCGCATCCGGCGCGCCGTGGAGATGAACACGCTGTGCACCGCGGAACTCATCGTCCGGCACACCACCTCCGCCATGGACGTGTCCGCCTGCTTCTACCACGTGGGTCTCAGCGCATCTATTTCATTTTTATTTAAATTAATTGGTGGTGATTAAAGTAGTTGTGAGGTTTAAAAAAGAATTACAAATATCAATACTTGATTTTTGGAACGTCTTTTGCCCGGTAAACAGGAGATTAAAATTAGTAACTGCTCGAATTAGTATCTACCTGAATGCGTATTTTTCCTCCGTTGCACAGATCAACGAGTTCTGGAAGCTGCTTAACTGGCCGGACCTGGTCAGCTCCTACAACATCGTCCACAAGATCATCCAGGTGAGTCTCAGTGGACGCCAAGCTCAAAAAGTACTTAAAGTGCTGTCGCTGTCTTTGCACCAAGTGACGGTTGGCTTGGCCTGGCTGCGCAGACCATCAGCACGGCGGCGCTGTTCTACGCCGACCTGACCCACCAGAAGCTCAAGGACCAGGGCTTCTACGAGGACAAGGGCCCGTACCGCACCACGGACGACATGTGCGCCGCCATCAACGACCTGGAGTACGTGCGGCGCGCGCTGAACCACGTGCCCCGCGACCTGCACGTCGACAGCATCCTGGAGGCGGTGGAGGCCGCCGAGATGGCCGCCGCCGTGGACCCCCTGTCCCTGGCCGGCCCGGTGCCCTCGCCCGGGCTGCCCGAGTCCTCGGCGTCGGCGCACGCCAGGGAGGCGGCCCGCGAGGCGGCGCGCGAGGCGGCGCGCCAGAACAGTGGCGCCTGGAAGGAGGACATGTACGCCGCGCTGGAGCAGGCCGCCACGCAGATGGAGCAGTACACGCTGCTCATCATCGCCCAGATCGGCGCCAAGATGCGGCCCTCCCTCAAGAAGGCCATGTTCCACCTGGCCTGGTCGCCGGACTCGCTGCCCACGGTGGACGCCATCTCGCCGCTGCTGCAGTACCTGGACTGCCACCTGCAGAGCCTCAACGCCGCCCTGCTGCCCAAGAACTTCGAGCGGGCGCTGTGCGAGGTGTGGGAGGTGAGTCACGTGTCCGTGAGTCCGTCAAGCTGTCCCAATGTATGCAACGCACAGTGGGCTGGAAGGTCGTTGGAGGCGGTCAAAATCCCGGACGCGTTTTGTGCTCCAAAGTCGCTAAACAGGACTCGAACCGAGCGTGTGACCCCACCAATGGATTGCTCTCCGAATGAGGAATCCATTGGTGGGGTCACACGTTCGGTAGAGCTCAAAACACGTTTAGAGTGCCTGCGCTGGTTATCCGGCCCACTGTGCAGTGGCTGAAACGGTTTGCAACGCACCGCCAGGTGGTGCTGCTGGAGCTGGGCCACCAGATGGACGGCTCGTCGGGCGACAAGCTGCCCGGCTTCTACGACCGCCTGCACGAGGCGCTGGGACTGCTGCTGTCCTTCTTCCACGCCGACACGCAGGGCCTGAACCTGGAGGCCCTGCGCTCCGGCACTTACTTCAAGGTGGACCAGCGCCTGCAGTACCACCGCACCGACACGGAGCGCCTCGTGGACCTGTACCACCAGCAGCGCCTGCTGGCACAGCTGGGCTGCGAGTCGGCCGAGTACGGCGTGCTGGCCGTGCGCGCCTACTTCAACCACGACTCCCTGTGCGTCGAGGTGCTCAGCGCGCGGGACGTCATCCCCCTGGACCCCAACGGTGCGTGGCCGCTTGCGTGGCCGCTTGCGTGGCCGCTTGCGTGGCCGCTTGCGTGGCCGCTTGCGTGGCCGCTTGCGTGGCTGCTTGCGTGGCCGCTTGCGTGGCCGCTTGCGTGGCCGCTTGCGTGGCCGCTTGCGTGGCCGCTTGCGTGGCCGCTTGCGTGGCCGCTTGCGTGGCCGCGTGCGTGGCCGCTTGCGTGGCCGCTTGCGTGGCCGCTTGCGTGGCCGCTTGCGTGGCCGCTTGCGTGGCCGCTTGCGTGGCCGCTTGCGTGGCCGCTTGCGTGGCCGCTTGCGTGGCCGCTTGCGTGGCCGCTTGCGTGGCCGCTTGCGTGGCCGCTTGCGTGGCCGCTTGCGTGGCCGCTTGCGTGGCCGCTTGCGTGGCCGCTTGCGTGGCCGCTTGCGTGGCCGCTTGCGTGGCCGCTTGCGTGGCCGCGTGCGTGGCCGCGTGCGTGGCCGCTTGCGTGGCCGCTTGCGTGGCCGCTTGCGTGGCCGCCGCTTGCGTGGCCGCTTGCGTGGCGCTTGCGTGGCCGCTTGCGTGGCCGCTTGCGTGGCCGCTTGCGTGGCCGCTTGCGTGGCCGCTTGCGTGGCCGCTTGCGTGGCCGCTTGCGTGGCCGCTTGCGTGGCCGCTTGCGTGGCCGCTTGCGTGGCCGCTTGCGTGGCCGCTTGCGTGGCCGCTTGCGTGGCCGCTTGCGTGGCCGCTTGCGTGGCCGCTTGCGTGGCCGCTTGCGTGGCCGCTTGCGTGGCCGCTTGCGTGGCCGCTTGCGTGGCCGCGTGCATGGCCACGCGTAGCGACGCAAAAGAGAGATGCGAATCGAAGCTGCACACCTGATTCGATTCGATTCGGTTTCGAACGATTCGCACGTCTGACGACGAGGTGCACGCTGCACTACACGGTCGATTAGATTAATTGATTGGGTTGCTTCATTGCGCAGGGTTCAGCGACCCGTTCGTCATCGTGGAGCTGCTGCCCCGCCGCCTCTTCGCGCACTGCCTGGAGCAGACCACGCACGTGCACAAGAAGACGCTCAACCCGGTGTTCGACGAGTGCTTCGAGTTGTGCGTGACACTGCCGGAACCCAGAATACCAGCGAGAACGTTACCGACGCGCACAGTGGTCCAGGAGGCCGGTGGAGGCGGCTAAAATTCTAGACGCGTTTTGAGCTCCAGAGTCGCCAAACAGGACTCGAACCGAACGTGACCCCACCAATGGATTCCTCGTTTGGAGAGCAGTCCATTGGTGGGGTCACACGTTCGGTTAAAGTCCTCTTTGGCGACTCTGGAGCTCAAAACGCGCCTAGAGTTTTTGCCGGCTCCACCGTTCTTCGGGCAAATCCACTGTGCGACGGGCCGGCGGCCAACAATGCAGCGTGCTTCCCGTTGCAGCTCGGTGACCCTGGAGCAGTGCCGCTCCGAGGGCGCCATGATCCTGTTCACCGTCATGGACCACGACGTCCTGACGGCCAACGACTTTGCGGGCGAGGCCTTCCTGGCGCTGTCCTCTGTGCCCGGCGTGGCCGACACCAACTCGTCCATCGACAACTTCCACGGCCTGAAGCACGCCGAGCTGCCTCTGATGCACCAGAAAAACAGGAGTGAGTAGAGTCCTGCGCTTCACCGGCAGTTGCTGCGGTGCTGCGGTGCTGCCGCTGACAGCGCGGCGAGCGTAGCGAAACGCCTGCGAACCGCGGCATAGCCTAGCCCGCCGCGCGCGCCTGTCTTGCGGGCTAGGCTATGCCGCCCCTGATGGTTCAGCAGCTCTCCCCTCCCCTCTCCCTCCACGCTCTCGCTCACGCCACGGCCCCTCACTTGATGCTTTCCAGACCACCCCATCCTGGAGGTGCTGGAGACACGCGTGCACGACCGCGTCGCCTTGGACTTCGTCAAGAAGCAGAAGCAGCGGCTGGCCACGACGTAGACAAGGAAGACAAGCAGGCCGCGACGCTGGGCGGCTGGGTGCCGTGTCTTTGTCTCCGTCTCCGTCTTCGTCTTCGCCTGTCTTCCTGGGCTTGGCAGGTTCGGTAGGCTTGGCTGTGTTTGCCCTGTTGCCCCCAGGCAGCGCTGCGGCCGCCGCGGTCGAGCCGAGCGCTGAGCGTGTGTGGATTGGATTGGATGGGATTGGTTTGGTCGGTTTGGTTGAATGGGCCACGGCGCCTGCGTGCTGCTGTCATGGCATCGCGTGACTCGGTACCAATTTACTGCTCCCTCATTTTCCTCAGCACTTGATTGGCATTGTTCTTCAAATAATGGAGCAAAAGCTCCCCAGTGCGAGTAGGTGCATTTTGTTGAGATTGTGGATTTGTTGGTGCTAGCCCAGCCTTGGCAGCCTTCCACGGTTTTCTCATTCTATCTGAGTGAGGCAAGGTAGTAGCAACATCCTTAGGTGATGAGTGCTAACTTTGATATGGGTCGATTCAGTATCAAGTTTTTCATGGATGAAAATACAGATAGTCGATATGGGGTTGTAAATTTACTGCAGTGAATTTTTCAAATGGTGGAGTGAATGATTTTAATTTTAGGATGTTAAGCATTTTAGAGACAGTTCCAACTGTCAAATTGACTCTTCTAGTGATTTTCAATGTGACATTGTGTCAAGTGTGTAAACGACTGATGAACTAGGGTCATTTGATTCTCTGTCAAAGAAGCATAACTTTATTGTCAGGCTGTGCAAAAGCAGTTTCAGAAAGATGACAATATTTGAAAATGTGGCTTTGTGTCCCTTTGTCAGTTTATCTTAAAAGACGCGATCTTCTTGTAGAATTCAAATTTTCACGAGACGTTTCTGGTGTTGTTTTTGTATCTGTGTTATAGTAAACTATACGCTTGAATCAATGCTGCTGAAAGCGGTAAAATTACTAATAATTGTTAACCAATATTAATAAAAGCTTATAAGTTTTAGGTAGGTGATCATTGTACACCAATTAAAAAAGCTTACTGTCAGCTTACTGTCCTCACTGAATGTAAACCTTACTTTATCCTAAGTATAAATTGCTTGCACCAATGCAGCAAATATTGCAATTTGCAATTGCTAATTAGTTTCGTGGGAGACCACCAGAAACATACCTACTTTGTCCAAGAGCTTTGATGAGCTTTGCTTGGTACTCCAATATTCTCCCATTAATGAGTATCTCTTGTGCAAGCCCAAGGCCAAGCTCAAAAATTTTAATTTTCAAATTGCTTCAATGAGTATTAGACAACTAGGAATGGGTTCTAAGGTACGGAGAGGAGCAAGGTCTTGTATTCCAGCTTCACATGGAGTTCTTCCTCCTATTGTTCATACCACATCCTTTTGCTCCACCTCTTGTTTGGTGAAAGGTGTTTTCCCTCAAATGAAATCGAACTTCCCTTCGGGAACATGCCCATTGTTGAGAACAATACAAATGCATGAAAGAGAAAGCTGTGATTTGTCTACTTTAAGCTTTTGTGTAAGTGTGGTGAACTGTACTCTGTATGATTTCTAAGTGTATGTAGATCTCTACCTGACCTGCCAATTTTCCACTTTTGTAAATATGAACCATTTCGTACCAAACTACTGGTATCCAGCAAATTCCATACACTAGAAGTCACACCGTGATAAAAGTCTGTGGTTAATTGTAAGGATATCCTTCCTTCTTTTCGTAGAGTGCTTTTTAGTATAATTACTCTATTCATAAATGGTATACTTGTATACTTGTATATTCCCTTACTGGTCCAGAGGATCATTTTCTACTGATCTATGGTCACATTTTAAATTGGCAAAGAAGCACTCATTTGTTTAACTGCTGTCTTTTGGTTGTAGTATTGGGCTATATGAGGTCTCGCATGTAAAGCAGAGACAGGAATTACATATACGTAAAATACTGATAGTAAAAAAGTAAAACCTTGCTGATATACTCCAGAAACATGAAATAGATGCATGTTTACCCATCCCCCCCCCCTTTTTCTCTTGCACAACTAAAAAATTGATCTTTGTGTCTAGTCACATACTGACCATGTCCCCCCCCCTCTCAATCAAACGTGCTTTAATTCATAGTGTATAATATTCTGTCTATTTTTAAGGATGCATCTCTGTGAATGATTTGCTGCCCTAGCAAATGTGCGTGGGCTATTGAATGAAAAATAATTGTGCTGCTTATTTTGTTACTACTGTACATATTGGTGTTAAAAAATAAAAGAGTCAATTGAATGCATATAATAAAAATATATTCACAAAGAAATTACACACTTCTTAATTTGACAAAAATCAGACTAAGATCCAATCAACAGTGATGTTGAATCTTCACGGCCTGTTCACTAGTGTAGAATATGAAGCATTAGACGGAAGTTGTATAAACTATGCCAAATAAATTGGCAAAAAATTATTACAATGAGGTCATCAGTCAACACAAAACTATGATACACATCATTCTATTAGGTTCATGTGAGGTCATGTGTATTTTCCCCACAAAAAGGAATGATAAATTTCATGAGGTATAGTCTCACAATTTCACATTCTTATCCTACCTCTAAATTAAACCTTATCACAGCATTCAACACTCTTCACATAAATAATACTTTTAGTTATATGATAGATACATAGCAAAGATATCATTCAATCTGCTAGAAGGCACAATGTAATAAACTGATCATAAAACTGAAAGATGCACCAGGTCACCAGGTACTTTCATCTTTCAAAAGAAGAAACAGTGGCAGTTAACATAAAATCATATGCAGTAGCATAAAAAGTTATTAAAATATTGTTTTTCAATTCGGATTCTTGGATTAACACATTTCATCTTGGTCCCATTTTCTCAAGAGAAGCTGCCTTCCCTCCTCAGAATCTTTCATTGTTCCTTGAACAATGTGACTAAATAATGCTAAAGACACTTCCATAAAAAAAAAAAAAAGTTTAAAGGAAGCATTATGAAGCATTAAATGAAGCATCACTCAAAGATAGATGTAACTTTTGCCTGATAAGTCAAGCGCAGTCCTACTAGCATTGTGACATGCATTCCATGGGAAGGGAAACTTTTCATAGTGCAATGTCAAGAGGCAGTTTTTAGACTTTTAAAAGGAAAAGAGAGGAAAAAAGAACTTAAAAATATCTCAAATAATTGACTATATGAAATGCATAATATTCAGACACATGTTATACAATACAATAAGTAACTATCCTGCTCCTTACAGCACCCAAGAGCATTACTGGACTGTTAATAATTACCATAAGCTAACTTACAGCACTTGAAGTGCTTCCCATGCTTGAAGAGTCCATTTTCTGATAAATACTTATGCATATAATTCAAGTCAAATAAACTGATAAGGATTTCCAACCTTAGGTATCTCGATTAGGCAATACACTCAGTGAAAGTTTTCTTCACTGCAGTTCTAGCATAGGGTATGTACGAAATAGAATACCATGTCATTGCAACAGATTGCAAGATGATGAACAGCAGAGCCAATCCAGCATTCTTTAACTGCAAAAGGAAAATATAGACTAATTACCTACATTACAACTGTTTGTACTCGGGGCTCTTATCTTTCAAAGCTTTTTGGTTGAAAAAACATGTTCCCACCTAAGTGGGAAGTAATAAGTGGGAAATAGTACTTACATACAGGGCAGCAAATAGAGTGAGAACAATCATCGAAAGGACCAAAATTGTGGCAATGATTCTTGTAGATGCAAACATCTTCTTCATTTGGTTCACAGGACCCATCAAAAAGCATGTGCTAACAAAACAGAACAAAACATCATTTGATGATATGATTCTGATGTAAAATCACTTTGAAATCACACCTGGAACGGGTTATTGTTTGCAGGTAAGTATTTTAGTGATCAAAGCAATGTCTCCCTCTTACCTGGCCAAAGATGTAATATTTCCGAGGGTGTAGAAAATAGCAAAGACAGCCATTCCTTTGTGTAAAAATAGAGCAATACTGCCAAGCAGCGACAGAAAGATGCCAATTACGAAGCAGATGATAAAACCCTTGATTCTCGTTGACCAACTCAGAGTCGCAGCATCTAAAACCTGAAACAAAAGCAAACGTCAAAACAATGATTAGGAAAATGTTACAAATTATTTCGTGAAAATATTCATAGACTTTTGACATGAGGAGAAAAGACTGAAGTTAAGTACAAGGTTAAATAATTGGAAGGTTACAAGAATGCTGCCTACATACCGGACTGAGGATAGAGTTATCCTCACTGTTGTTATCCTCGCCACTGAGCACCTTCTTTAACTTATCCATGACAAAATTTAAGAGTGGAACCTAGGCCTATACTGAAACTGGGATGGTTCCTGCAAAGAGATAAGATTATTCAAATCAATGCCTTCGAAACCAGTAACCCACGGGCGACGGCGGTTGCTTACGTAATACAACGAACGTTGACGCCAAACAAAGGTAGCAGATAAATCTTTTACCTGTTGCTTGGTCTTGCCTTCAAGTTGGCGTTGTGCTACGCTCCGCGAGCTGATGTCTGTGTCTGAGTCACCTGTTTATTTATGTTGGCGTAGGCAATAGGCGATAAGTAATACTTTTGTTGTTATTTGCGCCAACAGCCTTTTAAAAATGATGAAAACCAAAAGCGTTAAGTCGAGAATCATAGAGGCCGTGCCGTGCCCCCTTACTGCGAATAGCGCAGAACGACCCGTCGACCCGTCCTGTATATAGTTTGTACTGCAAATACTAGTAAATAGACTTCTGCTAGTTTACACTACGCTTTCGTCTGCTGTGCTGTGCCTGTCTTTGCAAAGTGCAATAACATGGTTCTAGCAGATCATAATCGGAAGGAATTCTATGCTGAAATTCTTTCTTTGGAAAAAAAACATTACTGAATAACGTATTTCAGTGGTTTTGGTTCAGCTCGGAGTGTTTCACGTCGAGTGAAGTTCGCTAGGCGCAGCTAGGGGCAGAGTTCATTGCCTCCCCATTTTTCTTTGTTCTTTGTTTATGTCTTCGGTGGACAGGAGGACTCGGTAAATCGTCGGAAGCTTTCGATTTCTAAATGGTTGGTTTAGTCATAATCAGCTAAATCCATTATTTCTAAGTCTCTATTGGTAGAGTTGAGAGAAAAAATTGATTTTTCTATCCTAGGTGGGGTTTTGAAGTTGCTTCAATGTGATGCTAGGCTTCAGCTGTTGTTAAATATTTCCAAATTCTGAGTTGTATTAATTTTGGCATTCATGTAGACCTTGATGATATGCTTTTTCCATACAACCTCCAACTCATAAAGTCATGCCGAAACTGAAATTATTTTTCCGTGCATTGCAGGAAGACTCCGAGACAACAAACTTAAACTATGCAGATAGCTTACTTCCAACGTGTCTTCTTCAGAGTTTATGCCAACTATGGAGATCTGCCACATTTTGTGATGTTGTCCTGGTGGCAGAGGGAAGGGAAATAGCAGCACATAAAGTTGTTCTTGCCGCAGCTTCCTCATATTTCAGGTAATGTGATACAATTTGCAAAATAATTGTCTTGGAGTATTTAAAACTAGCTCCTTCTTGATACTTTCAGAACTATGTTCACTTGCCAATTGCGAGAGGCTTCAGAAAGTAGGATTGAAATGCATGAGATTTCGTTTCATTTACTGGAAGAAATCGTAAACTTTTTCTACACAACTGAGCTGAAGGTATGTACCAGTAATTATCAAATGAGGTTAATGTGAGTGATCACTCGACTTTCTCTCTGTCTGACATATTAAGTTTGTGGTTTTCCAGGTTACTGATGACAATATATATGAACTTATGTCGGTGGCTGATATCTTACAACTTTCATCAGTTGCCAAAGCTTGTGCCTCCTTCTTAATGAGCTCTTTGAGTCCTTCCAATTGCCTATCAGTACTAACTGCTGCCACCTTTCACTGTGGTTACTATGACTTGATAAACGATGCTGTTCGTTTTGCAAGAAAAAACCTAGCAAGTGTAGCAAAAGGAGAAGAATTCTTGTCTGCCCCAGCTGATGTACTTCTTCAAGTTTTCCAAGGCCAAGTACTAAACATTCCAGATGAAGGGTTTCTTCTGAAGGTAGTCAAAGTTAAATTTTGTGAATCCATTCATATTCATTAGTTGTTAAGCCCTGTTCAAACTCCTTGTTCAAACTTCTTATCACTCATATTCAGATTATTGTTGCCTGGGTTAAACATGACCCTACAAATCGGCTCAAGGATTTAGACAGGCTTTCATCAGCAGTACATCTGCTCCAAGTGCCCATGGAGACTCTTGTCATAACGAAACAAGAGAGCATTGTTGAAAATGCAAATCTTCAGCATCAGATTAAACACACAATCAATACCATTCTTGAAGAAAGGTATGATACAGATGTAAGAGCCAAATGGGCAACTGGGTACAAAGAAAACTCACGGCGAATGCTACGGTTCTGTGATGACCAGGAAGTGAGTATAGAGTTTGTTTAAAATTTTTCCTTACCATTGAACGCTTTTTTGAATAACTACTAAATAAATTTAACACTTTTCATCCTCAGGTACTTCTTGCTCTGGGAGGCGAATCTTGTGGTATGGCTCTGGGGAGTGTAGAATGCATAACATTGGGCTATGATAATTGGAAATGTGAAATACCCACTGCTATGAAGACTGCAGGGGGGGCTTGTGAAGACACGAAGGTCATTCCTCCCATGCAGACCCCTCGCAGCTTTTTTGGGGTCTGTTGTTCTGATGATAAGATTTATGTTGCTGGTGTGTATTTTTATTATTCCCATTGCGTTATGGTCTTCACTTTATCCTTCTCTCTCATTCTTTGGCTTATGTCTGTTTGCTGTAGGTGGTTCTACACCTTCATCTGCGATAAAAACTGTTGAAGTTTTCAACTTTACTAAAAATCAATGGACATATCTTCCCCCTCTTAGAGAAGCTTTATCAGGTATCAGGATGGCTCTATGGAATGGTCAACTTGTTTTGACTGGAGGGCAGTATGCCGATCTAGCAGAGAATTCCTTTTCGGTAAGTGCTGCCTTTGTAGCATAATGTTTTTTTTTTGTTTTTTTTTTCAGCAAAAGGTGTTGGTTTTTAATTGTCTTGTTTTTTAAATCTGCAGTATTTAGATGAAAAATCTGCTTCCTGGAAAGATTATACACCAATGAGTACCAATCGCTCGTTTCATGGTCTTATCAATGTTAGTGGAGTATTGTATGCAATGGGAGGAAAAATAGGTAGGTAAAAGTCTTTAAAAAAATAAAACAAAAAAAGGGTTTTCGAAATATTATTTTTAAATGCTCTAAGTCAAATGCATTTTTATATTTGCAGAAGACAACACTGTTTTAAGGTCCATGGAACGCTATGACTATAATGAGAAAAAATGGTTTTCACTTGCCCCAATGCATGAGCAAAGATATGACTTTGGATGTGTGGCTGTTGGCAATTTTATTTATGTTGTTGGTGGTATTGGTGGTGACCAAAATCATTGGCTGAGGTCTGTGGAGAGGTAAGATCACTATTTGAATACACTGCGTAACAATTTTTACTTCCAGTTTTTCTCCAATCTAAAATGATTGTATTTACTTCTGCTTAGGTATGACACACTCACAAATCAGTGGTTCATCATGGCACCAATGCCATATGCTCGTGCTAGTTTTGGGATTTCTGTTGTGGACGGTCGTATTTATTGTGTGGGAGGTTACAATGGAGTGAATTTTACCAACACTGTTGAGAAATTTAATCCTCGCACCAACAGGTAATGCTTCCTTCATACATTTTTGTACAGTAAGAATTAAAAAAGACCAATTTTGAGGGAAAAAATAATTGCAGGTGGCATTGTGTGCAAGCAATGCTAAATCGTAGATATGGAGTTGGGGCAGCCACCCTCCGAGTTCCTGTCATATCACGCGAAGAAACATGATGCCAGCTGCCTCGGACCAGAGACCCTCTCATTTCGTCTTTGGCTCGAAGGCCCGTGACATCTTTCACATAGATCAAGATCTGGCTATCTGCTTCTTTATGATTGGTTGAACCATGACCAATTAGACTTCTCTGTGCCACAAACTTCAAATTATGTTTTACGCTTAGTGATTTTTCCAAAGCACTAACTTGATAACTTAAAATTAATTTTGTGTGTTAGAATGGCAGCATTGCACAAAAACATGAAAAAAAATGGGAAAAAAAGTCAACTGGTTACTTTAACTTTAAGGATAGATATCCAACTGAACTACCTTAATTCTCTATAGGTGTGTACAAACAAAATAGTTGAATATTTGTGCTATTTGAGAAAATAATTTTATTTGCCAATTGATCTCTCCTTGTTGCTGTCCCTTTTTTTTAAAGAAATTCTAACAAGGACTCTTTACATCCACTTCTCATTAAATGAACTAAAAGCAAGCACAAGGTTTTGTGTTGTAAGAATGCAAGTACCATTGTAATATTTCTGTTTGCATGGATAAATCATGAAATTTTCAAAATCCATGTACGTTTGTTCTTTTGGACTATGCCAATTTTGTCTGTGATTCTTGTTTTGGAACTAGCTGGACTTTCTAGAATAATTGTTTGTTATGTTATGTTTGTAAATACAAATTATATTATCAGATATATGTATTACGAATAAAGTCCCACTTTATTAAGAGTATTTGTGGTTCTAACTGAATATACTTCCAATAGTTACTTTCAGCCATGGATAAGAGAAATAGGAGCCTTGGGGAATCCTCAAAAGGCCTCCTTGTGTGGAAAAGTCATTTAAACAACAAACAAAATTTGTTTCAGTGCTTCTCACACATAGAGTAATATTCCACAGCCGTTTCAACTAATTATGAGATTGTCAACGAAAAGGCAAGGCAAAAGGTACATCACATTCCATTTTTTTCTTTTTTTTTTGAGGGGGGGAGGGGCTTTCAGCTGAAAATTTGAGACAGCCATAAATGTTGTGCATGAAGGATGAAAGGGATTGGCGCTACAGGTGTAGTCTTGTCAAATTAAAAGCACTCTCTACACTGCGAAGTAGCAGTAAAATATTTAATTCACAGTATAAAACAATGCTTCCACTACAAAGCAAAGAACGAGTTGAGTAACTAATGCACCAATATGGCGTCTTCATTTCTCCTTGCGTTTCGTCACAGTGGCCGGCGAGCGGCTGGGACCTGCCTCCTTGACTAGGAACACTTTCTAAACTGGACATTTACTTCCCTCGGCTTCTCGAGCGCCTGCGCGGTAGGCAGTCCCGTTGCACAGACTCGCTGAGCGGGCTTGCCTACGTCGGGTCCTCAGGCGCTTGCCAAGCTTGCCAAGCTTGCCTAGCTAGCTCAACCCAGATGGACGTTACAATTACAATCACGTTCAACAACAAGTCCCACGACCAACAAATTACCAACACTTCAATAATAGCGAGTGTATTTTCTGTTACATTTAGGTTCTAAGTCGATAGAAAATTAAAAACTACAATGTCAGAAGACAAAATTGGTTTCATTCTGAACTATTGGTTAGGACTACTATTAATGCTCAAAATTTGATTAGCAAATCCATCTAGGAAGGTGTGTCGCATCCATATACATTGCAGGAAACAAGTTCTAAGAGACTTACAAATACAATAAATAAGTACTCCATCCACACGGTCACAATATTTACATCACCAACAGCCCTATTATACATATCACACACATTCACACACACTGTCACTTTACACACCACAGAGCTCGCACACTCGCATTACATTGACACATATCTACAGGCGTCGTTTCGTTCCAATCTCTCTGAGCCCTTCGTGCTTCGTGCCGCCTCCGCGACTCCGCGACTCCCCCGAAAGAGCGAGGCCCCATCCGCCCGGCCAGGCCGACCAGGCCCAACTCCAGACGGCCAGACAGCGACACGCCGCGGCCTGGCCACTGGCCGGCCTGGCGTGCCAAGCCTGGCCAAGCCTCGTTCCAGTGCCGACGTCCGTCTCACGGCAGAAACGGTTCCTGGTTTCCCAGGAACTCCCTGGAAACCGCCTATGTCGTTACTTCAAGCTAACTGGGAAAACCCAGGAGCCGTTTTTGCCTAACTTGCACCCGATGAGTTCACTGAAAAACCAAACGTGGTCTGGACCACACCAACCGGTGTGGTCAAATGGGTGCCATTTTGACCGCATCAGTTGGTGTGGTCTAGACCACGTTTTGGTGCGTTTGGTGTGATCATTGCATGGAAAGACCGCACCAAACGTGGTCTAGACCACACCAAACGTGGCCAAACGTGGTCTAGACCTAGACCACACCAACTGATGCGGTCAAAATGACACCCATTTGACCACACTAGTGGTGTGGTCTAGACCACGTTTGGTTTTTCAGTGTATGGTCGGTGCGTATCGCTGGGGGGCTCTTCGCTCCGCTCGGATCGGGACGTCCCGGTGTCTTTCGCGCCCCGGGTCTCGGCGATCGAAGGATCGAAGATCGAAGGAGGTCCGGTGCGGTGTACCGGCTCTGCTGAAGCTGAAGCCCCGGTTCGCCGGGTCCCCACGGGGACTCCCCGCGGTGCCGGCGCGGTCACGGGCAGTTCTTGGAGCGCTGCTGGAAGCGCCGCATGCGCGCGTGCCACTCCTCGCGCCACTCGATGACGGCCGAGTGCCTGCCCGCCGTGAGCCCCGGCCGGGCCGCGTGGCCGGCGTGGCCGTCATGCTCCTGGCCCAGCAGCAGGTACGACCGGCCCGTGTGGATGCGCGGGCAGTTGCAGTTGAGGTCGCTGACGCGCACCCACAGCGACATGGAGCCGCGCCGCAGCCGGGAGTCCCTGGCCTTCTTGAACACGCTGTGCACGGCCAGGGTGTACTGCACCCAGTCGCCCGACACGGCCTCGCGACCCACCACCTCGCCCATCAGCGCTGCAACAGAAGGGAACCACGTCAAACGAACTCACCCAAAAGCCCCTTTTCAGGAAACCGAACGTCTCTGGATCAGCCAGGCAGCCCGAAATTCATTTTCAACTTTCTGCTGTACAAGGCGAGGGAAAGCTGGGAAAGCAACATTTTGGGCAAATGAATGAGCAACCCATCGTCTCACGCTTCCTCATCTCAACTAGCGTCACGGGAAAGTCATTTTTACACCAAATAGAATGTGCCAAAGACCACTCGGCGCCAGGAATCTGATTCTTAGGCCCATAGCAACGTTCCATATGAATTTCAGACCTGAGGTGGTGACCATTTTCGTCGAAAAAAAAGCTTAGGCATATACATCATGGTTTTTCACGTTTTGGGCAAAGAATTGAAAGCGGTCCAAATTTGAGTATGCTGTGCTGGAACACTCCCTCAAGTCTCCTAACACAATTTCAAGGACCACTTCGGCCCTAAATGGTCTTATTTTTGGCGAAAAAGTGGAATGCTTTGAGCGAACTCCACAAGAGTTGGACGTTTGGGTCTACGAAATCTATGTCTAGTGCCCAATTGCCTTTGGTTCATGGTGTGAAAATGGGATTCCCGTGACGCTAGTTGAGTTTTGGATTCCAAAGCGAGTTACTTTAACTATTTGGCCGAAAATGCTGCTCCGCCCTGGTCCACCCTGGCTTGGGGGTGCATTGCTTTTCTTGGGTTGGATTCCGTCCGGACTCACCGTAGTCACGCTTGCAGTACTTGCTGAGGTTGAGGCGCTTGCTGCTCGCTGTGCACTTGCCGCAGCGATCTGAAAGAACCAAGACAGAAGAACGGACATGAGAACGAGACAGAACAAGAACCGAAGGCAACCGCAGCCCGTAGCGTCAGCCTTCGGAGCATTCGCGGGCACCGATTGACGCCGACGCCCTCAGTGCCGCAGCACCTCACGAAGGCCGCGAGGCAGATAAGCCTTCAGGCAACTCTTGAGACAACTCTTGAAGCAACCTCTGGTGCAACCTTTCAGACAAACCTTCAGACAAACCTTCAGACAAACCTTCAAGCAACCTTGAGGCATTGCCAGGCAACCATTGAGGTAACCTCTTAGGGCAAACGGTCAGGCAATGAGGCAACCCTTCAGACAACCATTGCGGCAACCAGGCAACCTTTTAGGCAAACCCTCAGGCACCTTCAGGCAAACTTTTCAGACCAACCTTGTGCAGGATGCAGGGCGCGCGATGCAGGGCCGTGCAATCCCTTTCCAGTTCGCACCTCGCTAATGGGGCTCCCAGCAGACTGATTCCGAGGAGCGTTTTCGTCGCTCCGTCTCTCTCGCACTTATAAAGCTCTCCGATTAGGTGCGACGGAGACGGAGCGACGAAACCGGCTGCTGGACGCCCTGCGGCCGAGCCTGCGGCTGGGCACGGGGGAACGCGGGGACGTCCCGTTGGGAAAAGTCGGGAAAAGTTTCGCGTTTATTCGGCTTTATTCCCGCGGCCGGCAGGCTGATTCGGAACGGCGCTGTCGTCGCTCTGTCTCTGTCTGTCTCTCGGGGCGTGCCCCGCGTACCGTGGGGGTGGGAGGGAGACAAGAACGCGACGAAACACTGCGGTTCGGAGCGGTTCGGGGTCGCTCTTCGCGGCGCAGCGCCCGGCGGATTTGGATCGGGTTTGGGGCACCAACGCACTAACGGAGCAGCCAGGAAGCAGTGCGCCGCAGCCACGAGGGCCAAGGGGTCGGCGGCAGCGACTTGCCCTCAGGGGAAGGCACAGAGAGAGAGAGAGAGAGAGAGAGAGAGAGAGAGAGAGAGAGAGAGAGAGAGAGAGAGAGAGAGAGAGAGGGGGGGGGGAGAGAAGGGCCCGGACGCCGTGCTGCATTTTAATCAGACTGGATGATGGGTTAATGAGATATGGATCTGTGATTAACTCGGAGGCACGGCGCGGGCGCGCGAGCTGAAATGGAGCATCATCACTCTCGCCCCGGAGGTGACAAACTGGGCTGGGAGCAAGGTCGACGAGTCTGCGTCTGTGTGAGTGTGTCTGTGTTGAGTAGGGTGTGTGTGTGTGTGTGCGCGCGCGAGTGTGCGTGGTTTGTGTACCACACGTGTTGGCGCGCCGGTCCTGGCCGGGCCACGCCGCGACCAAACACCCTCGCGATGGCGCTCGCGATGCACTGCAAGGCGGACGTGCCGTTCAGGGAGGCGCCGCGGAGCGCCGCGGAGCAACACAGTGAAACACCCTCGCGATGGCGCTCGCGATGCACTGCAAGGCGGACGTGCCGTTCAGGGAGGCGCCGCGGAGCGCCGCGGAGCAACACAGTGAAACACCCTCGCGATGGCGCTCGCGATGCACTGCAAGGCGGACGTGCCGTTCAGGGAGGCGCCGCGGAGCGCCGCGGAGCAACACAGTGAAACACCCTCGCGATGGCGCTCGCGATGCACTGCAAGGCGGACGTGCCGTTCAGGGAGGCGCCGCGGAGCGCCGCGGAGCAACACAGTGAAACACCCTCGCGATGCGCTCGCGATGCACTGCAAGGCGGACGTGCCGTTCAGGGAGGCGCCGCGGAGCGCCGCGGAGCAACACAGTGAAACACCCTCGCGATGCGCTCGCGATGCACTGCAAGGCGGACGTGCCGTTCAGGGAGGCGCCGGCGGAGCAACACAGTGAAACCCCTCGCGATGCGCTCGCGATGCACTGCAAGGCGGACGTGCCGTTCAGGGAGGCGCGCGGGGCCCCCGGAGCACACAGTGAACACCTCGCGATGCGCTCGCGATGCACTGCAAGGCGGACGTGCCGTTCAGGGAGGCGCCGCGAGCAACCAGTGAAACACCCTCGCGATGGCGCTCGCGATGCACTGCAAGCGGACGTCGTTCAGGGAGGCGCTCGCGATGGCGCTCGCGATGCACTGCAAGGCGGACGTGCCGTTCAGGGAGGCGCCGCGGAGCGCCGCGGAGCAACACAGTGAAACACCCTCGCGATGGCGCTCGCGATGCACTGCAAGGCGGACGTGCCGTTCAGGGAGGCGCCGCGGAGCGCCGCGGAGCAACACAGTGAAACACCCTCGCGATGCGCTCGCGATGCACTGCAAGGCGGACGTGCCGTTCAGGGAGGGGGGGCCGCGGAGCAACACAGTGAAACACCCTCGCGATGGGGCTCGCGATGCACTGCAAGGCGGACGTGCCGTTCAGGGAGGCGCCGCGGAGCAACACAGTGAAACACCCTCGCGATGGCGCTCGCGATGCACTGCAAGGCGGACGTGCCGTTCAGGGAGGCGCGCGGAGCGCGCGGAGCAACACAGTGAAACACCCTCGCGATGGCGCTCGCGATGCACTGCAAGGCGGACGTGCCGTTCAGGGAGGCGCTCGCGATGGCGCTCGCGATGCACTGCAAGGCGGACGTGCCGTTCAGGGAGGCGCCCCGGGCGGATGGAGCGCTCGCGATGCACTGCAAGGCGGACGTGCCGTTCAGGGAGGCGCCGCGGAGCGCCGGGGGAGCAACACAGTGAAACACCCTCGCGATGGCGCTCGCGATGCACTGCAAGGCGGACGTGCCGTTCAGGGAGGCGCTCGCGATGGCGCTCGCGATGCACTGCAAGGCGGACGTGCCGTTCAGGGAGGCGCCGCGGAGCAACACAGTGAAACACCCTCGCGATGGCGCTCGCGATGCACTGCAAGGCGGACGTGCCGTTCAGGGAGGGGGGCCCGCCCCCGCGATGGCGCTCGCGATGCACTGCAAGGCGGACGTGCCGTTCAGGGAGGCGCCGCGGAGCGCCGCGGAGCAACACAGTGAAACACCCTCGCGATGGCGCTCGCGATGCACTGCAAGGCGGACGTGCCGTTCAGGGAGGCGCCGCGGAGCGCCGCGGAGCAACACAGTGAAACACCCTCGCGATGGCGCTCGCGATGCACTGCAAGGCGGACGTGCCGTTCAGGGAGGCGCCGCGGAGCGCCGCGGAGCAACACAGTGAAACACCCTCGCGATGGCGCTCGCGATGCACTGCAAGGCGGACGTGCCGTTCAGGGAGGCGCCGCGGAGCGCCGCGGAGCAACACAGTGAAACACCCTCGCGATGGCGCTCGCGATGCACTGCAAGGCGGACGTGCCGTTCAGGGAGGCGCCGCGGAGCGCCGCGGAGCAACACAGTGAAACACCCTCGCGATGGGGCTCGCGATGCACTGCAAGGCGGACGTGCCGTTCAGGGAGGCGCCGCGGAGCGCCGCGGAGCAACACAGTGAAACACCCTCGCGATGGGGCTCGCGATGCACTGCAAGGCGGACGTGCCGTTCAGGGAGGGGGGGCCGCGGAGCAACACAGTGAAACACCCTCGCGATGCGCTCGCGATGCACTGCAAGGCGGACGTGCCGTTCAGGGAGGCGCCGCGGAGCGCCGCGGAGCAACACAGTGAAACACCCTCGCGATGCGCTCGCGATGCACTGCAAGGCGGACGTGCCGTTCAGGGAGGGGGGGCGCCGCGGAGCAACACAGTGAAACACCCTCGCGATGGCGCTCGCGATGCACTGCAAGGCGGACGTGCCGTTCAGGGAGGCGCCGCGGAGCGCCGCGGAGCAACACAGTGAAACACCCTCGCGATGCGCTCGCGATGCACTGCAAGGCGGACGTGCCGTTCAGGGAGGCGCCGCGGAGCAACACAGTGAAACACCCTCGCGATGGCGCTCGCGATGCACTGCAAGGCGGACGTGCCGTTCAGGGACGCGCGGCCCGGCGGAGCGCCGTACTGAAGGGGGTGCCGCAGGGAGGGGGAGAACACAGTGAAACACCCTCGCGATGCGCTCGCGATGCACTGCAAGGCGGACGTGCCGTTCAGGGAGGCGCCGCGGAGCGCCGCGGAGCGCCGCGGAGCAACACAGTGAAACACCCTCGCGATGCGCTCGCGATGCACTGCAAGGCGGACGTGCCGTTCAGGGAGGCGCCGCGGAGCGCCGCCGAGCGCCGCGGAGCAACACAGTGAAACACCCTCGCGATGGCGCTCGCGATGCACTGCAAGGCGGACGTGCCGTTCAGGGAGGCGCCGCGGAGCAACACAGTGAAACACCCTCGCGATGCGCTCGCGATGCACTGCAAGGCGGACGTGCCGTTCAGGGAGGCGCCGCGGAGCGCCGCGGAGCAACACAGTGAACACCCTCGCGATGCGCTCGCGATGCACTGCAAGGCGGACGTGCCGTTCAGGGAGGCGCCGCGGAGCGCCGCGGAGCAACACAGTGAAACACCCTCGCGATGCGCTCGCGATGCACTGCAAGGCGGACGTGCCGTTCAGGGAGGCGCCGCGGAGCGCCGCGGAGCAACACAGTGAAACACCCTCGCGATGCGCTCGCGATGCACTGCAAGGCGGACGTGCCGTTCAGGGAGGCGCCGCGGAGCGCCGCGGAGCAACACAGTGAAACACCCTCGCGATGCGCTCGCGATGCACTGCAAGGCGGACGTGCCGTTCAGGGAGGCGCCGCGGAGCAACACAGTGAAACACCCGAGGGAACACCCTGCGCGACATGGAGCTCAATTTCCACCGCGAGAAAGTTGGTTCATTTGTCCAGCTCCGGCCAGCCGCCTTTCATTACGAGAATAAATTCCAGTTTTACGATTCCCCCGACGAAAGCCCCGGCCTTCCCATCCCAATGACCGCCGCGGCTTGATAGGAATAATATTCAGGCTCCTCCGCGACGCGGGATAGAGAGTGAGAGTGACAGAGAGAGAGAGAGAGAGAGAGAGAGAGAGAGAGAGAGAGAGAGAGAGAGAGAGCACGCGCGAGGGAGAAGTTTAATCTGCGCCCCGAAATCTTTTCTAAACCAATTAAAATA